TATGTATGCTTAAGAAGTTACAATATTACTAAAACATTTACATTTAGTCCTTAGACTGTTACTAGTCATCTTTCAGTGTCTAAGACCCCTGATTTTTGCATCTGTTATGTGTCTGTTTCCTACAAAAACTAAAAAAAACTAGACACGGAGGTACAATATTATCCAGTGAAAGATAACACTTCAGTAGCAGATTGAGTGTGGTATTTACTTTTAGGAAATAGGACAATAAACAGGTAGAACCTTTTTCAGGGAGTCCATGGAAGTTGCTTCTGGAAGCAGACAATGAGAGTGTACCACACGGATGTTGCAAGGCCAGTGTCACACACCCTGCTCAGAAATGATGCTGTCCCTGAGCTCAGCTTGGCCACTTCCATGCACTTGCCTGCCTTACATCCTTGATGGCCACCCAGCATGCCAGCTGTTCACTGCACAGTGAGCACCCTGGGGTGGGATAAGCACTTTGAGACAATCAGGAGCTGCTACTGCAGTCCTGCTGTTTGTGTGGTCTTGTGAGTTTCAGCATGAGTCTCAGGACCTCTCTGCTGCTGTGACAACTGAATTCAAGTTATCCTGATGTGATATCTTTTAAGTTATTCAGTATACCTGGATGTTTATTGGTGACTTAGTCCACAGTAAAGCAGTTGTGGTAGGAGGAACTTTTGAGCCCTTCCCAGAGGAAGTGTTTCCATTGTCTTAATCAGGAGGTATTGCAGGTGGTACAACAATGATACAATAATAGAAATCCAAAGAATATAAAAACTCAACAAGCCAGAATGTAAAGCATGGAACCGTGTATGCATAGGGATAGCTCATGTGCTGTGGGCTGTACAGAAATGTGGAGTTAAACATTTTGAAGTTGTTTGACTGATGAGAGCTATAGAGAATTAGTGATAAAGCAGCTGAGACTTTGATGACACACTTTAATCATTTCCTTATATAACCTGGTACTATATGACATATGTATTCATACTATCTGTCATATATTCTCTTTTTGCCTTTGCTTTAGGTTTTTCCTCCAATCATGCTGTCATGATGGACATGAGTCAGAAATTTATTCCCGTAACTGCCCAAAACCAAGTGGGATTTTCTTTCATTTACAAACAAAAGACAAAATATTTGCAAATAAACATGCACAAGAGCCAGGAAACCTATCTGTTTGCCCAAGGAAATAGATTTCCATAGATTCTGAGCTCTTGCACTTAAACAGCAGGTAAATGGACTCTGCAGTTTTCAGTCTCTCTGTTGAGATATTGCAGTAATGAGAGCTATTATGAGAAATCTAGATGGAGAAAAAGACACACATGGGGTTTATGTTTTTTGTTTTCCAATCTGAGTGTTACATGTTTCTGTTTCCTAGATGTCTAAGAGATCATCAACAATTGGTCTCTCCTTTGATGTCAGGGGGACAGGAAAACATCTCAGACCTAACTGGCATTAATTTAACCTAGATTTCTCTTCCTGTAATAGCAAAAGAACTTGTCTCCACACAGACCATACATGGAATATAAACAAACACATTGTTTACATATATATTTATTATTTATTTAGTGTGTATATTTATTATTATATTTTTTTTTTTATAAATTCCACTTGGTATCTAAAAGAATTGTTAGATGTCTAAACCAGACTGACTCATTCCCACTTACAGTGAGTGCAGGGAAAAGGAATGCGACAAAAACATCTTGTGCCCTTGAGCACTGACATGTTCAGACTTTAAGATAACCTTTATTTTCTGGTGTTTTTTGTTTGTTTTTTTTTTTTTTTTTTTGGTCAACTAATCACATAGACATAACAAATATATATATATATATGTTCAGCTCTGTAAATAGTGTTGAAGTAGAAATTCTTCACAAAATGTAAGAAGGCAAAAATTATTTGCCTTTGCCAAGTTTAAGCAGCCTCAAACATAGCATGCTGACTCCAAAATGTATAAAATAGTTACACTACTGCTGAGCCTTGGGAAGTGACAGTTGCAGTCAGTGACTGAAAGACCTAGTATCTTTCTATCCTCCAGGATTTAAGGAAGCCTCAAATGTTTTCTGTGAGTGTTCTGTCAAGGATTCCAAATGTGTGGCTAATATCAGTGTGTGCTAGTTATTTGGTTTGGTTCTATTTAAAGAGAATTATTTTTAATAGTTTGAAAGTAAAATTCATTGTAAGTCTGATCACTTAAGAGCAAGTACTCTGGGTCAACCAATGCTGAAATTTTCTGAATGCCATGAGAGCGCTCAGAACTTCAAAGATAAGTAGTTCATTTTGCTTCAGATGAGGGAATAATTTGACATTATTTCAATATTCTGTCTTCCATTTTAATTAGTACAAAATCTTAAAATTTTGTAATTTTAAGGTAAAGGGTCAGGGGTTAAAGTCATGATGTAATTAAAGTTGAAGTTTTAGGGTTTGCCCTTTAAGTTTAAATATTTCTGTAAGTTACAGCTGAAAAGATTTTATAAATACTTCTATATTTGGGTAAATTCTGATGTAATGCATTCCAAAATGTGTGCATTGGGCTTGAATCTGAGTTCACGTAAGATGAAAGGTTTTGATAAGCTATGAGAAAAAACAAGCAGCTTGTAAGGAAATGGACACCCTGTACAAGTCAGTCGCTGTAATTGCATGTAGTTTGAAGCTGTGCCTTAATTTTTCAGAGCTTGCAGCTGATGATATATTTAAGACTGCCCTCAGTTCTGGCAGGGCTTGAAGCAAATGTTACTTCAGTACTGTCAGAAAGTAAAAAACTAGCAACATGTGAAGTGACAGAGTTATACTCTGAGCAGTCAGTGAGTTTGAAGCCACAGCTTTCTGACCTTGAGTTTTCTGCCCTTGCAGGGTGAGTCTCACTGCTTGTAGCAGACACTGTCAGAACACAGCACTTGCCTCTCTGTAAACCTTTTTCAGCTCTATGATAGCCAAAAATCTCATTTCTACTAATGCAAAGTTTGAATCTCTACCACCATTTTCATGCTGTTCTAGTCTCAAAAGCGCTAGTCACAGCTGCAATTTAGAGAGCATAACAAGTGTGTTTGTGGGCACGCAGTGCTCTCTTTCTTCCTATATAATATGTAAGTAAAAGAGAAGACAAATCTAAGACTGCAATAACCTATGAGAATTGGGGTAGGAAACAGGTCTCACTTTCCCCACTGACACTGAAGACAGGAGAGAAAACATACATGGATTTGAAGCCCAGTTCACACTGGACAGGAATAATGATGTGATCAGGACACCTGAGCATCCCCACGTGGGCTCTGTGCAGTGTCCAGCCAGGAGGTGACAGATGTCCCAGAAGTACCCTGGAAGAGACCTGACAGAGCAGCATGGGCAGAGCCACAGAGTACTCTGGGAAGTCATATGTCCAGAGTTGTGGTTTTGGCCTGACACCAAGCACAGCACACAGAGCTTCTATTTGTTCTTGTACCCAAGTGTTCCCTCCATCCATATGTACCTTCAGTATATTCTCAGCTGGGTTCCTTACCTCATGAATAATATTTAACCCATGTTTCTCTGCATAAGCTACACCATTATGTTTGTACCTCAGAACAGAGAAGGCAAAAGTGAAGTTGCACAGAAGATGCTTGGCTCAGAACCACTGATTCTGAACATCCATAGCTGCACCCTCTGCACAGGGTCATGACAGTGGGTATGCCAGCACAGTCAGCCTGCAGTGCTGTGCTAAAACAAACTCAGTGCCAGCCTGACTCAGTGCCAAGCCAAGCACGCATGTCTGAGTGCATGAGAGGGGAGAAAAAGGATTTCTGCCTGTTGACTCCCCATACCTTCTCGAATCTGGCACAGCTGCTTAAGGTCAGCAATACACTATGGCCAGGAAGGTTTTGCTTTTGTAGGGATGTGTAATTACAGTCCTGAATGCCAGATCTCGAGTCTTGACTTTCCACTCCAGTTTTACCACTCCTACTCCACTTGTGTTTTTTCCACCTGGCAGTGAGGTCGTGGTGCTGTCATGAGACGTGCATCAAAAATTTTTTCCTCTCTGCGATGGCCATCTGTTTCTCCAGCCTTCAGATAACTTTGAGTCAAATGTTTTTCTTTTTATTTCCTCCTGAAAAGCATCCCTCAGAGCACCTCTCTGTGGTGCTCTGTGAATTGAATTTGTACTTGGATACTGACTGTTGACAAAAGTCAGTCTGTATGTGATGTCATTTTTTTGATTGTCAATATCATTTTTTTGATTGACATTGGCTAATTACATTCATAGCCATACTAATCAAACAAATTTTCTTGACCTGGGAAAGACTTTAGAATCTGGTATTGTAAAATAAAGAAACATGTTTAAAATTAAAAACCTTATAGTCTTCTGATAAAGAAGACTGAAAAGACAGAAATGCATATCAGAAGAGTCTTTAAAAATGGTCTCTGGGAGCCTTTTTTCTACTAACTCCCCTGTTTTCTTATAAATAGAATATGTTTCTTTGTGCAGGTGAATGTAAAATTGAGCCTTAAGACATTAAGCGGCAAGTATCTTTGTTTCTCCACACAACCTTATTTTCAACATTCTCTTTAAGAAAACAAATATTTTCTTCTCATTTAGTTGACCATTTAATTTTCTAAGTCTAACTTGCCTGTGTCCTGGCCATTGCTTCCTTCAGAGATTCACAGTTATGCTCCCCATGACTCTTTCTTCCCTATCAAACTGAGACAAATCAGTGAGAGACAAGAAAAAATTTCCATCTTGCTTACTTCAAGGAACCAGGGAGGAGTATTTGTGTCTAACTCATCCTTGTTTATCTAATAATTTGCCCTAATAAATGGGTGGGTTGTCTATGTACAAACAGGTTCTATGAAAGATCACACCCTGTTTATAGCAATTCATTAACTGGAAAGACACTATCTTAGCCAATTGAATTGTTATATTGAAAGAGTTTCCTTCAACACTGGACCAAAATAAAGATCCATCATTAAGTATATTACCTGGTAAGCCATTTTTAGCTTAATTTTCTGTAACTCTTGTTCAATGAGGTAAGGGTTTTTGCCTTCTTTCACAGGTGCCACCAGTGCTTCTGGACAAGCAGTTTTCAGAATTTACGCCGGATATCACACCTATTATTCTGGCTGCCCACACCAACAACTATGAAATCATAAAGCTCCTTGTGCAGAAAGGGGTGTCTGTGCCCAGGCCACACGAGGTACGCTGTAACTGTGTTGAATGTGTCTCAAGCTCAGATGTGGACAGCCTCCGCCACTCTCGGTCCAGACTCAATATCTACAAGGCTCTGGCAAGCCCATCACTGATTGCTTTGTCCAGTGAGGATCCCTTCCTTACTGCTTTTCAACTGAGCTGGGAGCTGCAGGAACTGAGTAAAGTCGAAAACGAGTTTAAGTCAGAGTATGAGGAACTGTCACGGCAATGCAAGCAATTTGCAAAAGATCTCCTGGATCAGACACGGAGTTCCAGGGAATTGGAAATTATTCTTAATTACAGAGATGATAATAGCTTGATAGAAGAACAAAGTGGTAATGATCTTGCAAGATTGAAACTGGCAATTAAGTACCGTCAAAAAGAGGTGAGTGTGCTGGAGAATATTTGAGCGCATTCAGTAGTAGTAATGTGATAGCTAAGAGCCTGAAATACATCCTTTTAACTGAGACAAATTTCTGCTTATCTTTTTTTTTTGTTCTGCTAGGTTTCTGCTCTTTTTATAGTTTTAATTAGATGAATTTGAATAGTTGTTACAGTTTGATAGTATCAGAATTCAAAATGTTCTCTTCTAGCCCAGATTCTATGAAACTTTTTTCTTTTACACCTGAATAGACATAGTCTTCAGTAGTTGTGTTCTGAAGTGCTCTTCAGTAATGAGGTGAGAAATATATAAAGCATACTTTAAATTGACTTGGACTGTGTCTGACAGAAAAAGGCAGCTGTGTTTAAACACATGCTAGAGGTACCTCTGTAGAGACATTTCTTCAAAAAGTAGCTATTACAAATACTGAAACAGAAGTTTCATAGCCATGCATGACTCCCAAAAATGTTGGCATTCAGATTCTCTTACATAAAGAATTCAAAACGGAAATACCTGGGTATTTGTGTCCATGGCAGTTAAGAATTCATACATTTGCTTCACCAATGTGCAAATTCAGTTGGAATCACAGGATGTCTGCATATATTTTTAAAAGTACTCTGTTTCTTTTGTGCATGCAAAAGCAAAAAAAGCAAGACACAAAAGTGAGTTAGGAAGACAGTTCCCATGATATTTCATAACCTTCACTTAATTCCTGCACATCATAATGTCAGAATATGTCGTATTATCTTATTGGGAAACAGTACATACTAAGTCAGCTGAACTATGGAAGTTTATAGGCAAGACAAATGTAAGCATTTAGTATTTGTTCATATTCATTACAGCAAATGCTTAAAAAACTTCCATGTTAAATTGTATCCATGCTAAATCTCTGTTCTGCAAAATATAGTAGTAAATGTGTTATGTTATTAAATATGTTAGAAAGGTTTAAAGAAATAATAACAAAACATTTAATGATTATTTTGTTCATTTCAAATGTAATTTAGTAATCCTAAGAAGCTATTGTAAAGGTAGGGAACTACTGAAGTAGTGATGAAAAAAACCCTCAATTAGTCTCTGACTTAATAAGTCTTCTAATAAGCATTTTTTCCTTCAGAAAATGTGTTGCATAATTTTATGTTTTATAGTATAATGTTTCAGTCAACATATTCCCTGCCTTAATAAAGCAAAACAGTTAAGAATGCATTATCTCCCCCCCTCATCTTAAAACCCATCCCTAAAATCTCAGCCTTTATTCATGCTATTACCAAAGGACACTCTAATGCCATACTGGGACTGAGTTCAGAGCTCCACAAGTAAGCAATCAAATCTGGTTGTCCAGAATGTCCAGTTTCTGGTTGTCCAGAATGTCCAGTTTACATTGTTTTTTATGATTAACTGTTCAGGAGTTAAGTATTACTTTTTGCCTTTCAATCTGAAAATAATACCAAAAATTATTAGCAGTAATTAAATTTGGCATTTTAAATAAGCAAACATATTAGAACTAAGTCTTGTAGAGCAGTGCGGTAGTCTTTGGGTAATATAACTTGGTTTAATCTCAAGACCCAGGATGGTGTAGAACAGCAGGTTTAGGGTACTTGTGGAAGCAAACAAGTGGAAGGTGAAGAATTTTCATTGTGTAAAGAAATGAAAACTGACAAACATGAGTAAAGAAAATTACCAAGCTCAGAAGTTTTGAGGACTTTCCAAAATTACATGATGCTTGAAATATAGATCTAGAAATGCCTTGTAATGAACAGAAAAAGTCCTTTGAAATTCAAGTGATTAAGCAGTGTTTTGTGCAGTGGTCTGCAAGCCTGTGGTATCACCCTGTTTTTGTGGAAATTAAGAAAGTACATTCATTTCTAGAGTTCTCCATGTTCTCCACTTTGCTGCTGAAGTGGGCCTTCCACAAACCAAGAACTTTATGCCAGTTGGATTTGAGGTTCTCCACAGTGAAAGTTGCTCATCTCTGCATTTCTATTCCTTTCACAATTGCCATAATACTGTGATTCTCATTCATGTGCAAAGGCGTCTCAGTGGTATCGATTCTCAGTCCATGGAGGTCAGTCAGGTAACCTATCGATTCTGTCAGGTCAGAGGTAACCTACAGTGTATTACTAACAGAGAAACTTCCCTGATAAGATCATCGATCTTCTTTATAAATAACTAATGAGGTTGAAAGATTTATAGTCTTCAGTTTACCTTGCAGGATAATGTCTGGCAAGACTGTGGATAGTATCTGTACATAGTTATGGGGCAGAACCAGGAGAGTATCTGCCAGAATATGTGGGGTTCTGTAGCATAGCCCATGGGATAGAACTTCCAAGGTGCCATTATTTTTGTGTTCATTTTGCACCACTGGTGCAGTTTGACTGTAAGCAAAGAAGCTTGTTGTGCTTTTTTCTAACACCTACTGTTGCCTGGGCTACAACCAACAGCAAAGACGAGAGATTTCCTGAAGTCATACAGCCACCCTGCATTGTGCACAGACATTTCCTTGTCCTGCTGTTTAATGTTGTCTCAAATAAGGGAGTTTGGTTTTATGAAAGCCGCCACAAGTTCATTGTGGTGGATTCTAAGCATACAATGAGTAGTTTCCCTTGTTTCTGAACTAAAGTAAAATGTTATCTGAATTAACTTCAGCTCCACGTAAGGATGTAGAAGGCAAATCCCAAGCCCTGTTTGTGGTTCACAAGCAAATCTGAGTTTGAATTGATTGCAAACCTCTGGTGCAGCAATACAATTAAGTAGAAGAGAATAGTAGCTCTCTCTATTGATTAGTAAATAGTAATCTTTTCCACTCATTGCAAAATGTATGTTTTCTTGGCCTGTATATTCAGAGTTTTTAACAGAGATACCACAGCAAAACCCCAGTTTCTCTCACTGTTCAGTTAACTTTGTTTTAGCTTTAGTTCTGTCTAGGTATTAAGAATATAACTAGAAAAAATTGAAAAAGTGCTTACTACAATGCTTACTAATTTCCCTATATGTGTGAAATAAAGAAGGGGAGATTAATAGGCTGAATCAATATAATCTGGTTTCACTGTAAGTTTAACCAGTGTGATTTAAGTACTTATACTAGTCTTTTATATCTCTGATTAATTTTTGCCTCATGCTAAATGTCCCATTTCATTTTAGCTATGACTGTATAAGCTCAAATACAATAACAGGATGAGGTTATAATTATTGGTAGTACTGTCTCATTTTGCTTTGTTATTAGACATTCTGATATCAACACAGAAGAAATCGGATTTTTTAAGTATGTAACTGTTGAGCTTTTCTCTCTCGCTTCTTGAATGAACCCCGGTTTTTTTGGTTTAGGTTGGGTTTACTTTTTTTTTTTTTTTTTTTTTTTTTTTTTTTTTTTTGTTTATCTTTTCCATTCTTAGGTTATGCTTTCTCTTCATCGACAAATACACAATCTCTGGCAGATTTGGAATACCTTATTTTGTAAATAGGTTAAATTCTGCATATTTCAAATTAGAATCTGGAAAGATTTTTATAAGCTTTTTTCTGCTTTTATCTTTAAAAACCTAAAGTAAATGCATAGTTTATCTAGCCTCCATCCAGTGTTATGTGTCATGTTGAGACCTATCTAAAGAAGCCAGAACTAAGTTTTCTAAAGTTTTTCTGGCCCTGAATTAACTTTTTAAAGGTTTGATTTAAAAAATTCTAAATTTTACTTTCTTTCCCTGTTTACTAGACATGCAGCTGCTTAACTACTAAAACTCTCTCAAATACCTCTAGTTGGACCTATAGATGCTCTCTCTTCCCATGGGCAGGACCTGTTTTTCTGAGTTGTGAGCAGCTGCAGAATGTGTACTAGCAAAGGGCAGAGTGAAAAAGGGAGTGCATTTAACAATTTGATGTATTTAAAGAATTAACAAGAGTTCAGGCCTTATTAGAAAGAATTTCAGGGAAAATGTTTCAGGGAAATCAGCTTCAAACCAAATTAAATACTAAATACAATAATATGATATTCAGATTTCCTGGATGAATTCAATGTTTCTAGGAAAGTGATGGTGCAGGATAAAAAGAAGTTTTTTGGTTTTGGTAATAAAACCCATCTGTTTGCTTCTGCTCAAAAGAGGACTTTTTAAAAAGGAATCATCAGTTCTTGCTAGTTTTTTGTGCAAAACACAGCCTAAGTGAAATGAAAATGTTTCACAATAATGTCAAAAATTCAGTGAAAACATGCCTGAAAATTCAATGAAAACATGCCTAATCATTTCAAATCAAATATTATTTCATGTAAGTGTCTAAACACTTCATTTCAATTAAATAAAGGATTTTTTTGTCTGCAGTTACTTCTAAATCCACTTGGACTTTAACATGTTTGCCAATTAAATTCTTATAGCTAATATCATCCATATCATATTATTACAGAAACCAGTATAGGCATGATAGAAAACAAGAATTACTGATTTTCAGAACTATTTTAGCAATTTCTAGAGAAAACAATTTTAAACTACTGAAATGAAAAGTTGTTCTGTTCTTAATAATATTTTTAATTTTTAATTATAATGAATTTTTAATTAAAAGTCTTTCTGATGCAAAAACATGAATTACTGACTCTGTAAGCTGGAATGACTTCAGAAAAACAACACCTTAAGGCTTGTTCTGTGTTTAAAATTAACCCACACCTGAAACATAAGCAGAAACACAGTGGCCATGTGTAGCAAGTCACTGTGTATATGAGTATTTGTCAAAAGGCTGCAAAGGTGCACTCAGAAGTCTCCACATAAAAAATAACAAAACCTCACAAGAACCAGACTCTGATAATATTTGGACATTTTTGACACCAGAGGAAGACATGTTTAGTCTATGAATTGCATAACTGAGAGGAGTGATATATACATATTTGGGTCCATGTCTCCAGAAGACCCATTTCTGCAGACACTCGGCTATAGTACTCAAAAAATTTGACAAACATTTTTCTATGCTAGAGTCAGGTACTCTAAACTAGGTCATATGTTTGCTTTGTAAATCATGTAAAAGTCTCC